GCTACAACTATACTACTAATATAGCTGCGGCATGGCTCTACCACATACTTCGTAATCGTAGATTTATTAAAATAAATTGATACATAGACTTAGATGATTATTTTAGGCCTCAATGACGTTACATTTATAGATCCTGTATCTAGATTATTAATTTATACATATATACGTTATAATTGCAATTTTAAGTGCTGATTTACCACGTGCTCGATAGTGAAGGAAAATATCGCTAGGAAACCTGCATGTCTGAGATATAAGTAAGCAAATGTGGGTGAAATTTACAGCGAGCGCTTAGCCCCTGACCTCTTCCAGTTAGATGTTTAGTGAAAATAAATTTGCTTTTGTAAAACTTTAGAAATAATACCATATAAAAAAGTACAACAAATATAAATAGGTTAATAATGTATACGAGAGCAGATACTACGGACAAACTGTTTAGCAGTTTGGCAGACCCAAATACTCAAACGCTACCCAATTTTAAGATTTAAGATTTAAATTTTAAGAAGAAATTTCAAACGCTACTCTTGTTGTCTCTGTCACTTTAAGTCAAAGTGAAAGTGACACCACGAGATTTAACGGCGTCTTAAAATTGAGTAGCGTTTGAGTATTTGAGCAAATAATTAGTAGGTAAGTAGTAATTTTCAAACGCAACTCGTATTGTCTCTATCACTTTAAGTCAAAGTGAAAGTGATACCACGAGATTTAACGGCGTCCTAAAATTGAGTAGCGTTTGAGTATTTGGGCATATAATTAGTAGGTAAGTATTAATTTTCAAACGCTACTCGTGTTGTCTCTATCACTTTAAGTCAAAGTAAAAGTGACACCACGAGATTTAACGACGTCTTAAACTTAAGTAGCGTTTATGTATTTGGGCATATAATTAGTAGAGTATCCTTCGAGTTTTTCTTGATAATGTTAATAACTAAAAAATATATTAATACATACCGAGTGCGTAAGATAGTATTGATAGAATCTAGCAAAGCCTTCATTTAGCCATAGGTTGTCCCACCACGCGCAAGTCACGAGGTTACCGAACCACATATGGGCTATTTCGTGAGACACAATATTAGCCACTCGTTGTTTGTAGTGATGATTCGAATTGCGAGGGTCATACAATATCAATGCTTCTCTGTAACAGATTCAATTTGATCACTAATGTGTTAGTAAGCCCCTAATAAACTTTGAGTAGTGACTGGGTAGACTTGGCCATTGGCAAAAACTTCCCGAATTTTACTGCTCATAATAAACAAAGTTCTTGGTAATTTTTTATAGGAAAAGGGTGACAAACGAGCGCACAGTCCACCTGATGGAAAGTAGTTGCTGTGGCCCATAGACATTTACATCTATCTTCGCGCGAAAAAATCCGTAAAAATTAGTTTCATTTAATACATCTATCTTCGCTTGCGAATTAAAATGCAGATGTGTTATGCAGATTGAACCAATCATGAAATCATCCTTACAATATTATTAGTTACTTTTGCATTACTTCTACGTTACCGTAACATAGAAGTGTCTATGTTACTATATATTACAAAGTAGCAAAATTTACGGCCTTACCCAATTATTTTTTATAGAATAAAGGTGATAAACGAGCATACAAGACTAAGATGGAATGCCTCGTCTCCAGTTAGAGCAATGCTGCAGCTAAATTATGTTTGTAGCACTATCGGATCGGAGTGACCGTTGAAGGACCACGCTCTCACAGAATACAGGCTAAATACTGCTATGTTTCGTATGGTGAGTGTAGAGAATCGGAGAGCCTTTTTACCGGAATCGTGGCTTTCTATCATAGTCCTCAGATGTGACAACGCATCTGTATTATTATTAATTTTATTATTTATATCATTTAATTTTGATAAAATATGTATGTGGCTATGGGCCATAGCATCCACTAACCACACATCATGTGGACTGAGTGCTCGTTTGTCACGCTTATTCTATAAAAAAGATATGAAAATGAATTCACTAAGGTCTAAGCAAGATTAAAATACTGTTTTACCCAATTCCAGGTGTATCTGACTTCTTTGCATAATCATGTTTTAGGTTCGAAGCACGCTGAGTCTCGTATAGTGATATCTAAAATATTGGTATGGTATTGGTATGGTATGGTGGATCTGTTTCACCTAATGATGCCTTATTAAGAAATGTAACCAGTGCCGTATTCCCTTCTATCCATTCCGGATTGAGCCTATAATATTCCACAGCTGGTCATAGGCTTCCCCTATAGAGTGCGTCATAGGGGACATTTTTCCATAGTTACTATACTTGGCAAGCGGGTAGGGAACCGCAATTTTTTTTAATTTTGAGTTAATATCAGGAAGATGCTCCTGCACATCTCCTGGTTATACAACATGTAACAAAAACCCTGTGGTTCCCGTTAAGTACGTTATCAGGATCAATATTCAAACCTATAGAAAAAACTTTTTTTTAAAACTCGACCTAGTTTACTAGCTTTTTTACTAGTTTTTAAAATTTTATTTTATTTTATTTTTTAATTTTATGTGGTTTTATTACCTCTTACACTGACACTAGCCGATGCTAAAGCTAAGTAAAGCGTGGTCTTTGACAATCCTCTTACTCCCCAGATAATGCAGAGGTAATAACAACACATACAATTTGCATACAATTATTTTTTTAAATAAGATAAATAAAATATTGTTCGAGTTTTAAAAAAAAAACTTATTTCCATACGTTCGAATAATGATCCTGATAACGTAAATAACGGGAACCACAGGGTTTTTGTTACATGTTGTATATGAAATATGTAATGTTCAGCCATTATAGATTATATTTAAATTTATTTCTATTGTCTTTTAGTTCAATACAAATAATTATATTATTAATCAAAAATAATAAATAACTAATAAACATACATAAAAAAAATATTAATAGATATTTATTATAGGCCGTCTGGTGGTGGCGCTTATTTCTATCTTTTTAGTTAATTTATTCATAACTGCTGGACATAACAGACTACAATTTTGATGAAAACCTAATGAGATTTAATTATCTAACAGTTATTGATATTAAAGTAAAATATTTGGATTACTAGTTATATTTCCTTATATCCACCTACCTGTATGTTAAGAGCCCCCAATTTTCCATAGCGCCAGCAGAAAAATCGGGTATAGCAGCTTGTTTCATATTCATATTTGTAGCCATATTATAGTAAGGAATTTGAGTGTACTTATCCATTGCATCTAAGAGCAATTCTCCCATTTCAAGAGACCATTCTCCAGTAGAACCGGTGTTGTCTCGGGCGTAGATATCGAATGGCCTCGTTGTATTGTTATTAGTGGCCACAACAATATAATGGGAAACGATAAAAGCCAGCAAGTATGTAGAAGTCACAGGAGTTGTATGAAAAGTTTCTGCAACTCTTCCATTAACGACCCTTAAAAAACATGTATTCCATATCAATCATGGTTTATATTTCGGACAAAAACAATAAATCAAACTAAACTAAATTAAATTTCATTAAACTTTCATATCCAAGTGGATATTCTAATATTTAGCAAAACAAATTTTAATATAAGGAAGAAGTAACACTAAAGTAAAAAGCAATAAAAATTAAAAAAAAAACTCACGGTCCCCTGGTTTTCAAAGGCATATTAGAAATAGTTGGGCTAAAGTTTTGCTCTCTAACGATTGTTATCTCGAAGGTCGCTTTGAAACCCGGTTCATCATAACAAGGGAACGCCTGACGAGCATGACCTGGTTGAAATTGTGTGGTCCCCATCCATCTAAAATATATTTTAATTACTGACAAGAAAAGGAACACTTGACATATTTTTTTATTACATTCAAAGTCATTCTATAAAATATTGGAATTTCTGGGTAAACGAAGATTATTTAGCCATGGTACCTCAAGGCAAAAGAGCACGCCTTAGAACTTCATTGTACGCGAGCAACTATTTTTCTTATGTAAGTGGGGGTAAACGAGCATGCGGCTCACTTGATTGTAAGTGACTACCGCCGCCCATGAACAACTGTAACACCAGGAGAATTGCAGGTACGTTGCCGCCCTTTAAAAAAAGAGTAGGTTCTTTTCTTTAAGGTCCCTAAATCGTATCGGGCTAGAAAAATCGCTGGTGGTAGTCTATTTCACAAGGAAGTTGTGCGAGGAAGAAAACCTTTAGTAGACGGCCAATCATCCAGATGGTATGGATGTTATGAAGAGCTTTTTAAGATATACGTCCCACTCCTGGACACAGGCCCATCTATATTCTGCAAACCACCACGCTGCCTTAATGAAGGCTTCACAAGTCTTCAAAATATTTTTTTTAAATTGTCCGTCATGCTGATTTCCTAACGATGTTTCCTTTCATCGCTATGTAGCCCGTTATAGAGCCATTTTGCAACTATATTATAATAAACACAATCCATCCGTACTTCATATAGATGACGGCACGTGCACCATTGCACCTGCGTTGGTGTAGCTAGACAGAATTCTTGTAAATAACACGTGCTCCGCACACCTGCACCATTGCACCTGCGGTGGCGCCCGTTTAGTTTGTATAAAACGGACGAAGCTGCCGCCGTTAGGACAGTCTTGGCTCTGACGTGGAACAGTGCGCTTGTCGTATTCCGTTACTAGTTTATCCTCGACTCGTTGGATAATTAATTCGTGTAAAGAGACCCTTTTACTGCTAACGGAGCATTATATTTTAGTCTTCAGGGGTGACAACGCATCTGTATTTTGATTTTCAATCGAAGATTTATGTAGATGTCAATAGATCACACAGCATAAAGCACAGCAATAAGGGTGATAAATGAGTATACAGTTTACTTTAAGCATTGAGCTCATGTAACATCAGCAATAACATTGCAATTGACAGTTCTATTGGAGCCAACGGTTATCGATCCCGCCTTTGTCACGTACAGAGAAATTTATATCAAACGCTTAACTTCTGAGCTAATACGGCGTCGTTTAAGATGATGCATATTTTTTAATGTAACGCTGACTAAAAGTACAAAAACAGAAATGTTTTATTTTACACTTAATTCTAACTGTTTTTAAAGGATAGGGTGACCAACGAGCACATAGTCCACCTGAAGATAAGTGGTTGCTGTAACCCATAGACATCCACATCCTCAGTAAAAAATCAATATGCAGATGTGTCGTCGATCGCGGACTAAGATGGAATGCCTTTTTTCCAGTATAATGGGTCTCCGGTAACTGAGCTGATTCCTTGAATAGGTTAATAAGGTCACTTTAAACTATAATCCCCGGTTTTAAAACCCTTTTGCTCTTCGTATAGAAAACCTTTTGTATAGATATTTACAATCTTTTGCCTTATTGTTCAAACGTATGTTGTGAATCATCCTAAGTATGTTTGACACAAGAACACAAATCGTCGCTTCTGGATTTCGCATTTCGGTCACTGTTGCCAGTTTCAACGGAGACTAGCAATCTGCAAAAGACGGGATTATTGTTATCTCTTTTCCCTCTTTTCTTTTCTATTCACTTTTATTGTCAGTTGGGACGGTAATCCGACACGACTGGAGGGAGATTAGGCGCAGGACAAACGGCTTTATGTACGTGCTTTCTGGAGCACGGAGGGAAACATCGTCAACTTCGTAACGCCGGGGTGCTACTTATAATTCTTTACAGAAAAACCTAATAACTGATATTGGTCCAACCCAGGATTTGAACCCGGGATCTCGTGATCAGCAGTCACATTTGCGACCCCAGACCAAAGGAAAAGCCATAATTGTAATAGTACTTACATCTTTTTTTATAGGATAGGGTGACAAACGAGCACACATCCCACCTGATGGTAAGTGGTTGCTGCGGCCCATAGACATCTACATCTATCCACGTTTGCAAATCAAAATGCAGATGCGTTGACAGCCATGAGGACTAATATGGAATGCCTCTTTTCCAGTAAAAAGTGTCTCCGGTTCTCTACACTCACCATACGAAACACAGCAGTGTTAAGCTGCTATTTTACGCTGGTATTCTGTGAGATCGTGGTCCTTCCCCGGCCGAGCCGACCAATTCGTGCTATAACTATACTTCTAATATAGCTCCAGCATGACCCTACCACGTATAGATGATGACGTATAGGTTTTCTTTTCTTTCTTTTTAAAAAAAAAGTGATGTATATAGATGATGTAATTATATCTAGAACACGTAAACTACTTTGTACAGGTGTTTACGTTGAGAGACCTAACCCTCGTTGTGGATATACATGTATCCGAGACACGTTAATTTCTTGCAAGTTCATCTTAGCAAATTTACTTTATACCATATATTATGTATGTAACTTACCTTTTTCCAGTTTTGTCATTATACCAACTTCGGTAAAAACCACGCATATTAGTTTGCAAATTGCCTCTGAAAGTCATTTTTACGATATATTCCTGGCCAAGTTGCAAAGGCGTAATTGTTCTAATCCTTAGAAAGCTGTAAGGGGAGCTACACTCGAGATTTTGATCCGGCGTGTTGATTTCTACGTTGCTCTCCGAACGTACACTTAAAGAATCAATCGTGAGATCATTACAATGCATAACTATTTCAGTAACATTGGCTTCCGTTGGACTAATGTGAACTGTTACTTCACCATCGAAAGTGAATGCTGTTCTATTTACTGGCACATTGTCAAAATAAGGAGTTAAAGTCACTTCGTAATGCCGCGGTCGAGTTGTAGTTGGTAAGCGATAGGCCGGGTCTCTTAGCGTCCTATAAAACTCCTCCCATTCTTCGTCTGGTACGGGCACGGGACTAAAGCCAACGATGCCCTGTACAAGAGCTGTCCCAATACATAACAAAAACCAGCGGGACGCCTGCACAAAACAAAATTATATTTTTCATTTCCAAAAGAAAAATTACTTAGTTTTTTCTAAACAAAAGCAATCAAATTATTTAAAAAATTGTATATAATGCATACTATCGCTTCATTTCAACGTGACTTACCATAATCGTGTAGGTCCATAATGACATAAAATTGGTAGTTTTTCCTGGTATTACTTTATCTTAATCTGTTTGTTATAATCTATTTATCTTATCCAAATGGTAATTTGATATTATTAAAGGTTAAAAAATATTGATAACCATTTAGCTAACATCATTCCAATATAATATGAATTATTTTGTGACCTTCACACACCGAATGGAGCCTTATGGTGACAACATAAGAATCTATCAATCTATTTAATTTTTTGAGTATCTTACTAGGTGGGTATAAGATAGAAATGAAAGACGTATATGTAAGAAAACCTTTAAAAACCTCCAGCCTTCCAAAAGATGGTGATATCTGCTGTCACCGGTCTGGATGTTTCACATCTGTCAAACACCAGATGTATGTGCAGATTGGATACGAGGAATAACGCCAAACGTGCAAGGCAGTACTGCAACACGCCACTGGCCAAGGGGGCGATTACGGAAATTACTTTCTTAAATCAGTGGCCCATGTCCGAAGAAGAAATCATGATGAAATATATCAACTTTTGTATTATTTTTTTTTTCTGTAAGTACTTAAATAAGTCTGTTGGTCTCATCATAAAGGTTTGACTTTTCTATCAATTCATAAACAGAATTAGATATCCAATACAAATGGAAACCTTTCTTCTTCACCTTCAGCCCGTAGCTATCTAATAGCAATCAGTAGTTCAGAACACATCGCTTCAGTAGGATCTATACAAACAAATAAAATTGAAGTGTCTGTTTGTAATGTCGAAATAACAGCTTTTTACTATATGCATATGAAAGTATATATAATTATAACAATATTTTTTTAATTTTTTGTCTGTCTGTCTTTCTGTCTGTTTGTCTGTCTGTCTGTTCCGGCAAATTTCCGAAACGGCTGGACTGGAGATTCACTGGCAGATGGCTGATGTAATAAGAAGTAACTTAGGCTACTTTTATTATAGAAAAAGAATTAGAGTTCGGCGCAAAAAAATAAAACTCATGAAATCCAATCGTAATAAATTACGCGCGGGCGAAGTCGCAAGGAACAGCTAGTCTTAATATATAAATGAATCTTGAATGCCTCGTTGGCCTAGTGGTTGTAGTAGTGCGACTGCTGATCATGAGGTCTCGGCTTCGAATCCCGGGTTGGGCCAAAAAAATCAGTTATTGAGTTCTCTTGTAACGTTTCACCCCCTGTCCTGCATGAGTATACAATTATTTAACCCACTTATGTAAAATATAAAATAAAAGAAGAATTATATGTCCAAAAGAAGTTTTACTTCGTACGCGTATACACAATTAAAAGTTAGTTTAAAGTTACAGCCTATAATATAGGTCCCACTGCCGGGCACAGGCCTCTCATTTCCGAGAGGGTTTCAGGGCCAGGAAAAGTCCGCCTCGCTGCCACAATGCGTGTTGGCGAACTTCACTTCTTCGAAATATTTTTTTTTTATTTCTCAGACATGCAGGTTTCCTCACGATGTTTTCCTTCACTGCAGAGGACGTGGTAAATCAGCACTTAAAATTGCAATTAACAATATCATTGGTGCCGACGGGGATCGAACCCGGGTTGCTCGCGTACTGTGAAATTTACAACGAATCCTAACCATCATCAACAAGCCAGTGCTTGACTACAATCCAACCTGGTGGTGATGACGTTAGTGGTGGTCCTAGATGATACATCGCACTGTCTTAGCGTAACTATTAAAGTTGTACAAATAAAGCCTCAAAGGCTATTAAAATATTTTTACTCACGAAGATAGCGTCAACTGTCTAGTGGCAGTGTGACAACATCCACTATCCCATATCGTCACGTGGGTATCGTAAGAGGTGGTATAAGAAACGGCTTAACAAAATACCCAATCTTGTAAACTTTGATAGATGGCGGTAACTGAGAATTTCCGTCAATAAATTCTCAGTAGCTGCCCGGAGTCAGGAAGATGGCGGTGTGTCACCCCCGTGCATTGGAAAGCACGTAAAGCAGTTGGTCTTGCACTTGATCTCTCTCCGTTCGTGTTAGATTACCGTGCCATCGGACTATGAGATTGAGGGAACAGTGAGTGCACCTGTGCTTGCGCATACACTTGGGTACTATAATTCTGTCCTGCGTCCATAGCTAGTCTCCGTTGAGGCTGGCCGTCGTTACCGAAATTCAGTTTAGACGACATTATTATTTTAGTATATACAACATGTAACAAAAACCCTGTGGTTCCCGTTAAGTACGTTATCAGGATCATTATTCAAACATATGGAAATAAGTTTTTTTTTTTAAACTCGAACAATATATATTTTTTTATTTTATTGAAAATAAATAATGTATGCAAATTGTATGTGGTTTTATTACCTCTGCATTGTCTGGGGGATAAGATTTACTTACTTTACTTAGCATTAGCATCGACTAGTGTCAGTAAGAGATGATAAAACCACATAAAATTAAAAAAAAATCATTTTTTTCATTACAGCCCTTCACAAGTCCACTGCTGAACATAGGCCTCCCCCAAAGAATGCCACAAAGCACGGTCCTGAGCCACCTGCATCCATCGACTTCCTGCATGTCTTACCAGGTCGTCACTCCATCTCGTGGGGGGATGCCCTACACTTCGCCTACCGGTACGAGGTTGCCACTCGAGAACCTTTCTTCCCCATCGGTTGTCGGTTCTTCGAGCTATATGGCCGGCCCACTGCCACTTCAGCTTACTAATCCGTTGGGCTATGTCGGATACTCTGGTTCTACTGCGGATATCCTCATTCCTAAGTTTATCACGCAGAAATTAAAAAAAATATATGGTCGAGTTTTAAAAAAAAGTTATTTCTATAGGTTTGAATACTGATCCTGATAACGTACTTAACGGGAACCACATGGTTTTTGTTACATGTTGTATATATGTAAGTATAAGTGAATCTGTCTTAACTCCGCCATCGTACACTGCGACAGAACTTGAAATTCCATCCACATTGTCACCATGGTTGGTAGTGCAAAACCGTGCGTTTGAATTTTCTGGTGGATATATGTGATCTTCTGCCAAGGTGTCCATCTGGGTAAGTAGCACGCTGTTACTTATTTCTGTGGACAAGCAATGGTGCATGCACAGCTTCGTTCTAGTAAGAGTATAGTAGAACCAGCATAATTCCAGTCTGTGGGGCAGCCTAAGTCGAGCACTCCGGATCTAAACCTAAATTTATATTACGTCAGAGCTGTGTATCTGTTTTGTTGTGTTTGTATATTTTATATGAATTTAAGTAATTGTGATAATTTAATTTAAATGAAATATTTTTTTATGTAATTCATATAAAATTGACATCATAACTTAGATTTAATATTTTAATTTCGACGTGTATTTATGAAGTGTGAAATGGGCAAGTTCCGAAATAAATTATTTTTTATTTTTTTTAGTCCTCGGAGGTGACAACGCATCTGTAATCATCTTTGTTGGAAGTTGGTTACAGGTGTCTATAGCTAGCAATGGCTAAGTACCAATTGGGTTAAGTTCGTTTGCCACTTCAATTTTATAATAATAATAAAAAGCCTTTGAGAGTTTTTATTATTTATAATTATAACTTTCAACAAAAAGTAAAAACCGACTTCAAGTTGCTAAAAAAGAAGTTATTTATTTGCTACCCTTAGTGGTGGAATTTTCTTTCCAAATTTATATGAAACTACTCTCGAAGTATAACCTATTTAATAAAAAAGAATCATTTAAATCGGTTCTCAATCTGAGATGAACAAAGAATTGAAATTCCTTATGAATATGATATTCATAAGGAATTTCAATTCCTTAAACAATAGTTCAATATGAAACTTTTTCCCCTACTTTCCACACTGGGGGGGGGGGGGGATGTTTTCTTCAAAATTTAATGGGACCACACTAGAGGTTAAAGTCTATTTAATAAAAAAAAATCATTAAAATCGGTTCACTATCTGCGAATATATCGCGTAAAATACAATGAAAAACATACACTCGAATTGAGAACCTCCTCTTTTTTTAAGACAATCAAAATAGCACTTTTGTATGGCTGCCCTTAGGCAATCGTGTGTCGCTGGTGTAACAAATTTCAGCAAGGTTGACTAACTTTAAGATATGAAGAAATAAGTTAACCTTTGACGATTGTTACGGAAGGGAACATGCTTGCAGTAAAAAAAGTAACTGACGAGCTATGCTATAAGAGAGGGCTATGCTCGGAGTTTTTCTGCTGCAGTTTAAACGATGGCATTCATATAGAGTTCTAATTCCACGTATAATTGAATGTAAAGTTGGTCCCAAATTACCATACACATAACCAATATAACTTAGGGCCTTCATTTAATCTATGTCAGTATAATTTTTACGTAGTTGAGCTACGCTGCAGCTACATTATGGTTGTAGCGAGAATGGGTCAGCTCAACCAGGGTAGGACCACGCTCTCACAGAATACCAGCGTCAAATAGCAGCTTAATGCTGCTGTGTTTCGTATGGTGAGTGTAGAGAACCGAAGACCCTTTTTGCTGGAAACCAGGCATTCCATCTTAGTCCTCAGAGGTAACAACGTATAGAGGATAAATGTAGATATTTATGGGCTACAGCATCTACTTATCAACAGATGGACTGTGTGCTCGTTTGTCGCCCTATACTATAAAAAAATTAAGAACGTTATAACATTCATTAGAAGCGATAGTAGGTCCATGGTAAGGTACGAATTACAAACTCAAATATTGTGAGTTCAAATTCGCCATCTTACTACAGTTGTGAATCAAGTACAAGTCTTTTAAACTTACTTAGTGTGATTAAAGGGAATATTAGTGATGTTAATAACATTGTTAGGAATTAAAAAAAATAACTTCTTTCATCTTTTTAACCCCGCCGCCACAGATTTACGGACTTATTCGAAAAGACGAAGTCGTCTCAAGAAATGCTTAATGTTGCTCTATCTCTTTTTACTAAATATCAGTGGAAAAAGTCAGCTATAGAGATAATTAATATTTTATTTAAGTAAGATACAATCAACGATTATAAGTAAGACCGTTAGATAATTATTAATTGTGCTACACACAAATTATTAGTGTTCGCCAGACTCGTTGGTCCAGTGGTCTTATGATCATGAGGTCCTGGGCTCGAATCCCAATCGGACCAAATCAATTATTGGATTTTCTGCCAAAAAATCCTCAGTAGCAGCCCGGAGTCAGGACGTTGGTGGTGTTCGTCCCCGCGCTTTAAAAAGCACGTAAAGCCGTGGATCCTGCGCCTGATCTCTCTCCGGTTGTACCGGATAAGTGTCCCATTAGACAACGTTACTAGTGTTACATTATTAGTGTTTGCATGTTAGGTGTTCATCTTTTAACCTCTGTTCTTTCTCAAACCATGTCTTATATTTATATTTAGTATACATCGTTTTCTACAGGATGCATTTCGGAGAGTGTGCGCACGAACTGCATAATTTAATTCCTCCCTCTCCCTTCCACCATTGGACAACCAGACGTTCGGCCAGTCTCCATCCTTTCGTTGTAGTCTTACCGAGCATTCGAACCAAACGGTTCGCCACGTCGTTCATCATGCGTAGAGCAAAGGAGTGGAATAAGTTACCAGCATCTCTCTTTCCATCCGATGACAGTGTGGGTGTCTTCAAGGCAAGAGTGAATAGGCTTTTGTTAAGTCAGTGCGTTTCACCATCTTAGGCTACATTACCACTTACCATCAGGTGAGATCGTAGATAAGCGCTGACTTAGTAGAATATAAAAAAACGATGTTTACTGTTACGAAGTTCATTCAGAATTAGTTGTCCAGGCATCATCTCTTAAACGAATTTATCATTATAAATGAAGTTTAAAAGAATAAAGAAGATATTATAAAAGTATCTTTTATTATACTAAGGCACAGAAAAGAATCTTAAATTACTGAAGTTACATCTACTAAAACATTATTTAAGCAACAATATTCACTAGGATAGTCGAAATAAGAAGGAATAATGAGACGTATGAGGTCACTGCTGAGTCGGGAATTGTAGGTGTTTCAGGCTCAACTAGAGGTGGTGCTGTTACAGTAGTGGGGTCAGGCTTTACTTCAGGGTTTGCTGTACTCTGCTCAATATTAGAGTCACCGTTGACGAAGTAGTCATTAATATCTTCTGACACTGCCTCTGCCCATCGAATACTTTCACGGGAATTTTCAGCACCATTATACACGGCTTGAAAGTCGTCACCTAATTCCATTCGGTTTTGATTCGCCCATGATTGGAACTGAAAACAATATAAGAAAGAAGTCAATTTACAGATTTTGGGAATGGGGGTGAAAAAGTAAAGGGAAATACGAACAAATGAACGTAGAACGGTAGTCTCCCATCAGTTCTAGCAGTATAAAGTATGGCGCAGACGACTAAGAAGCATCTGTCGAAAATTCTACGAGTATCACTGCCGTTATTCTACTAGTGTAGGCAAGGAAGATCGTGTTGCTGTGAGGCTGCCCTTGTGTCACATTAAAATAGGTAGTGTTGCTGTTGGTTTGCATACTTTGGTATTATCACGTAGTTGGGTCCTTTAGGTTACATCGATATGTGTTTGTGACGGGTACACATGACGGTTGATCGTGAACTGTATTGTTGCTGACAATGATTGGTTGCATGGTCAGGAGAGCAAGTTGAGTATATGCTCGAAACTTTTACGCCTTACATTCAGTAAAAAAGTTATGAGGTAACACACATAAAAAAAACATACAGTCGAATTGAGTACCGGCTCCTTTTTGAAGTCGGTAGAAAAGTAGTTCTACCTCTAAGAAAAATTTACCAAGATCCATCTGTAGACAAATTTGTGTGTCTTATTTGTAGTTTAAATAGCAGCAAACAGCACCAACAAGCCAAAAGTCACGTGCCCTGTCACTTACATAAACATATTACGCCTATTCCATAGGATCAGTAATTTATTGATGGGACAAAGTATACACTCTTACTATTTAACTCCAAAAAACTTATTGGATCTATTTTTTTTTATGTCAATATTATATTTATTCTATATTATACGTCAATTAACTGTAGCCGATCGGTTATCAAGCCAACAATAGCTTTTTTAAAAGCAGGAAATAATTATTAAATAATTTTATTATTGACATTTAATATTCCGAAGAATCAAGTAGAGTTATCACCTCATTTCCTCTTATGGGTGTCGTGAGAGGCGTCTATAGAAGTCCCAAAAAGATATTATGGGTACAAATAGATGGCGGAGATCGTTACCATCTCTTTACGCCAAGCGTAAAATACTCAGACAGGCGACAGTAAGTAGCATCAAAGGTGTGAGATATAATGCGATCGTCAACCTGCATTGTCCCAGAAGTAGGCTTTTACGCTGTGATGAAAAAGAAGAAAAAAACTTCATACCTCATTGATTTCAGCTTCCGTTCTTAGTCTTGAAGAGATATACGACAGTGGCGTAGTCGCAGATCCAAATCTGGAACACAGGACATGCATTACTTTTAATACCAATTGTTTTACGTTAAAAGTGAACTCGTGGATACTCACGCTTTGATAACAGCCGCGAGGTTATTCCGAATATACTGGAAGACGATTTGAGTGTTACCCTCGTTACCGGTTACGGCTGAATTAAAAGCGGTCGTGTAATCTTGTGGGCGTATTATAAAGTTATCCTGGACAATTGCGTTCAGGAACCTGTGAACAGGTAAAGCATAAAATGACTTAATGATTTCTTATATTTACGCGAACACTACACATTTAAATAAAACTAATTTTACGGAGGTTATCGCGTATATTAACTTATTTTATATTCCCGACGTTTCAAGCACCTTACGCACCCATTGTCACGGGAGGGGGGGGGGGGGAGGGGGAAATGAAGTGTACGACGTCCCAATGTCATAGTTAACCACGTTTTTAATTTTTAATCTGAAGGTAGCCGTGGTTAACTATGACATTGGGACGTCATACACCTCAGTCCCTCCCGTGACCGTGGGTGCTGTAAAGTGCTTGAAACGTCGGGAATATAAAATAAGTTAATATACGTGATAAAATCCGTCAAATTAGTTTTATTTAAATAAAATGACTTGTTTGTATTCACCTTACAGAGCATACACTACAGTGTCAATACGTCACCTCACACCAACAAAGAAAGAGACGGAGCAACAAGTCTTGCTATTTGTTTAGAAAATTTAACGTATAATATATACTTGCGATTGTTGTCACTTGGTGAAACTCTAGCTTAATTTTTGTGATTTGGACAAACACTTGTACTAGTTTTGCAATATTTATTTTAAATAATAAATAAACTAACCATAAAACGGACCGGTTTCGCCTCACGACAGGATAACCTGATACTATATCGATTGTTCCAACAAATAGCGAGACTTGTAAGAACTTTGAGCATATAATTTGATTGTTGCTGTAATTTCAAATCACAAATATTTCATAATCATTATCATTACAGCCCTTCACAAGTCCCCAGCTGAACTTAGACCTCCCCCAAGGGATGCCACAATGCACAGTCCTAAGCCACCTGCATCCATTGTTAATATTTATTCCTTTGTTATGAGCAAATTTCTGTATCTTCCATTAGCTTTATCAGGACATCGTTTCGATCTTCCCTCTCTTTTAAGCTACAGATCCTGTTTATAAATTCAGTATAAGTAATGATAAAAGTAGACAGGCGGACAATTCCTTGCCCTAAAATACGCTTAGAAATAAAAGAAAGCCTGTACCCAGCTGTGGAACGTATATATGCTGTAAGTTAACTTTCTAATAAAATCTTAAATCGTAGTAACTAATAGCAGTCATTCCAGTAAGAGTTAATGGTAACCATAATCTAATTTGTCTATATTCCACTTCGGTTTCAAGTTTATTAAAAAAAAGACTTACGTATTAAGGGAATTATTATGAGGAGTACAACCCAGGACCATAAGAAGCTGAATTTTCTCAGTGTACACATTGTGTGTCAGGAAACGGTTCCACAGGAAATTGAAATCAGTTTCAGTTCCGTCACGAAGACCATTGCAGTATACCCAGTTACGGCTGTTCACTGGAACTCTAAAAATCAACCATTTTGTTAACTACTAATTCATAATTACTACTGTTTTTGAGAACCTAATTAATTTACTGTAACAACCTTTAACTTTTTTAAATACCGACAAAAAATTTAAAGATGCAAACTGCCTCCGCGATACAGGAGAAAATCCTATTTGTTGTGTGACGTTTTTTTTCGGCTCTTCACGTTGGCCAACATAGTGGCAAATGTGTTGGCAGAGATATTGGCCAAGAATTTGTGATCGCGTCCACACGTTGGAAGTTCGTTCAGTTTGCTTCGGTTCAGGCCAATGTGCGGACGAATTTATTAAAATGATTATTGAGGCGCTAACGGCTGCTGCAGTTTATTTATTCACAGCATACCACCACTACAAAGTAAACGTCTATAAGAAAAGGATGATCAGAAAGAAATGAAAAAAAGAAATTTTATTTCTTGACGGCTCCGTGGCGTAGTGCCTTAGCAATCAGTTGCTGCGCTGGGGGCCGCGGGTTCGAATCCCGCACGGAACAAGTATTTGTGTGGCCTGAAAATAATTTCTCCGGGTCTGGATGTTTGTCCTTATGCAATTTATGTTTGTAAACTGCCTCCACGATACATGAGAAAATCCTAATGTGGGGATAACGTTTTTTTTTTTAAAAGATTTGAAAGACTTGTGTTTCACAAACAATTTTCGGCTTGGTACGGCTCTATAAAACTAAAAGTCACTGCCATTATGTAGACACTGGTTACAATGCGTGCATATAAAATTTTAATCAGGTGCGTGCGATCACTCTGGGACCTCGTAGCAAACTGAACATGCGCCCAACGTGTGGACGCGGCGGCCAATACTCTGCCACAACCCTTTGATCTTTTGTAAAAAAACCGACACCACACGGATCTCATCGTTTCGATACATACCAACATAATGTAACGCAACGTAACGTAAGCATAAACACCCGCTCCACACGATGGCCATCATTATTGGCCAACACATTCGCCAGTATGTTGGCCAACGTGAAGAGCCGCCTTAAAAAACAGCAAAAAGAAAAACTAATTCCATTTTACGAATAGAGCCGTTTATATTTTAAACTTTGCTATTATACCATAACATAAATTATAAAGACTTACTCAACACGTTCTGTAACGAGCCTGCGGAACTGTTGGTTAGCTGCATTCCTACATTCCCGTACGTTCATAGAGCACAAGACGGGCGCCAGCTGGTACCGCAGATACGACCGCATGAATGACTCGTTGGGAATTGGGTAGTAAGTCAATCCTGTGATTGATGTATTAGCCCATCTTGCTATTTGCGCCTAAAAAGTAAATAAATGAAATAGAAGTGAATACGATTTGGTCATTCGGTAGGGTTTACTGTTTAGTAGCCGCGTTGAAGAATCCACTTTTTTTTTATAGGATAAGGGTGACAAACGAGCACACAGTCCACCTGATGGTAAGTGGTTGCTGCGGCCCATAGACATCTACATCTATCCTCGTTTGCGAATCAAAATGCAGATGCGTTGTCACCCGTCAGGACTAAGATGGAATGCCTCATTTCCAGTAAAAAGGGCCTCCGGCCACCTGCACTCACCAAGCGAAACGCAGAGGTAAACCTCTACTTCACGCTGGTATTCTGTGAGGTCGTGGTACCACTCCGGTTCGAGCCGGCCCATCCGTGCGACAGCAATTCTGCCGCGTGGCTCTACCACTACTCCATATCTTCCCGTGAATGTCGTAAGAGGCAATAAAGGGAAAATAAACGGGAAATACCATCTCTTGTTTACAGTAGCATCTTCTTGACCCCAACCCGCCGCCAAAGTGTGGCAACTATGACAAATATCCCCCCTACGTGATGATCGATCAATAAAAAAATACAGTCGAATTAAGAACCTTCTCCTTTTTGAAGTCGGTTGAAAATACAGTTATATCTTAGCGAAATACTCAGATGGAACCGTGGGAAAGAGTTAGTTATTTTACACTACTGTCAAGTGGTTTGTAATATTTAATAATTTATTTTTTATATTTACGCGAACACTACATAGTATTAGATGGAGTGACGACCTGCAGGAAGTCGATGGATGCAGGTGACTAAGGAACGTGCTTTGTGGTATTCCTTGGGGGAGACCTATGTTTAGCAGTGGACTTGTGGAGGGCAGTAATGATGAAGATGATGATGATGAACACTACACATTGAATAAAACAATTTTTTACGGATTTTATAGCGTTTAATTTATTATTTTAGTTTCCCGACGTTTCGGGTGCTTTACAGCAACCCATGGTCACGGGGGGGACTGAGATGTTTGACAACACCGATTCCTACCAAAGATGATACACGAGGCTATTGAAATTAAAAAACATCCTAATTTCAATAGAGAAGATGGATGGGTGCTGCCATCTGCTTGGGATCGTATAATTAACAAAATTCAATCCAAACCCAAGCATACACCACTGCTAGACTTCAAGATACTGTAAGCTCATTCTGCGTAAATCGAACCAAAAAGAAATTTATATTAAAATACTAAAGGTAGCCGGGTTAACTGTGACATTGGGACATCAAATATCTCTGCTCCCCCCCCCCCCCCCTCCATGAACATCAACGAAACGTCAGGAATTAAAATAGTAAATTAAACGCGATAAAATCCGTAAAAATAATTTTATTCAATTTATTTTGTTTTGTTTTTCAACCGACTTCAAAGGAGAAGGTTCTCAATTCGACTGTATTTTTTTATGTGTGTGTTACTTCAGAACTTTTTTCTAGTTGAGCCGATTTTTATGATTATTTTTATTTTAAAGCTAGTACTTCTCATGTGGTCCCGTATAAATTTGATCAAGGTCTGACCAGTAGTTTTTGAGTTATCCTTAATAATGCGTATTTAATTGACTTTGACTACATTGATGATGTTCTCATTTTATTTATGTTTAAGTCGATTGTACAACGTTTTTAATTTTATCACTTGTAAGAATAATTAAAAAAGGCTGTCACAACATGCTTTAGTTGTGACAGAGAAATATTTTTTATTCGAAAAAGGGTTTTTATGGTAAAAACGATCATACAGTCCACCTAATGATAAGTGGATGCTGGTGCCCACAGACATCTTTTCTTGATTACGAATCAAAACCGATGCGTTGTCACCCGTGAGAACTAAGACGGAATGTCTAATTTCCAGTGATAAGGGTCTCAAGTCCTGAACACTCATCATACGAAACTCTACAGCATTATACTGCTATTTCATTGCTGATATTCTGTGAGCTATGTGATCGGTTTCTTTGATAATCTTAAATCACATATAAATAAAGTTAAAGTGTCTGTCTGTAATATCGAAATAACTGCCTTATATTCAGCCGAAATGCCTTATTTGTAATCCATTAAAACATAAATAACCATTTTAAAAAAATTCTCTCTGCCTCTCCGGACTAAGCTTTGGAAAGGCTGGACCGATTACAATGAAACTTTACAAACAGAGGAATAGCACAACACCCGGACAAATCTCAGCTAGATTTTATCAAAAACTTGGAGAGTTTTTAGAAGAAACGGAAAATTTATAAAATAAATGGTCTTTAATATACGTAAATCAAAATAACGCCAATAATAGCCTACCAGAAGAAGCCTGGACGGATCGGTAGTTTAAAATATAACAGAACTAACCTCCATGCGAGCCAAATTTGGAGTACCAGCTAATCTGTTCCTTATCCAAGAGAAACCAGTTATAGCAGCTACCCATGGTGTATATTCTGTCTCATATTGTAAGAATGAGAGAATATTGAAAGCTCTGGAGTAGCTCATAAGACCTGAACGAGCGAATTGGAATACGTCGTTTACGATCTGTAACAAATAAACTTTATCATTCGTGATACTGAAATATGGAAACTCAGGGATTAAGAAATTTAAAACTTCATACGCTTTGTTGTGATTATTATTATTACTGTCTCACCTGTGCTCTATTATACTCGTGTATCTGTGCTCTATTTGATCCTCTCAAAGCCATTGTAATAAGATCCCAAGTATAATCATCATAGTTGACCCTGTAGAAACCTAAAGATTGAAGAGTTCATTAGTCAACTAATATATGCATAAGAAAATAAGCCATGTTTTGAAAACTAACCTGTTTGTTGTTTATTAAATATAACCCACTGGTCTCCAGTGGAACCGCGGTTGATTACAGAGACAGCGTTTCCAATTATATGTGTTGGTTTAGTGTTTGTAAAGTCAGGGTTGCTGGCGGTTGCGAAAGTAATAGGAATAATATAATTAGTGTTGACTGGGGAATAGCCAGTGTTAATGTTGAATCGACGCTTAAAAAAAAACAAAAAATTATTAGTAAACTGATATATCTATGACGCACTTAGATCTACATCATGATGTTTCTTGACCTTCTACAAGTTATATTTCAAACGATATTTATTTAACATTTTACTAAATCAGAATATATTAATGAAGGATTTTCTTTAGAATTATCAGTATTTAATGAAAATAAAATTTAGGTTGCGCTTAATTACTATAATTTAAGTATTCGTAGTCTAATGGTATGGATTGGCATCTACTTATCGAGTCGTCAGACTAAGATAAACCATAGATAACACATTATAGCTTTACATTATTTATCATTTTCCTAGAAACTTGACAATCAGACATAATTTAAGTGATGTATTTTACTATGTCAATAAAGACAAAACCAATGATATGAGAATTGAAGAGAATAATACTTAATTAATTCTGAAGTTACACGTTTCTTAAACCACATATTTACCTGAGTGATAGTCATATCCCCAGTCCCATGATTGACATTTACGGTTAACACGGGATGCCCAGCTTGATCGGTCCAGCTTCTGTAGTATTCAATAAAATCGAAAGTAGGCCCGTAAGCGGAGAAAGCGCCGGATGAATTTCCTACTTCTTGTAACGCTTGGAAGAGATGAATTGGCAGTACGGTATCATAAGCCCTATAAAAACAATTGAAATCTGTTTTATTAATGTGAAAATTTCAAATAATCTCAGATATTAAATCAGATTTAAAAATAATTAGAATGTTTTTCTATCACTAGAAGACATAAATTATTTATACCTGTCCACTAAATAGTTTCGCAGTCCTTGTCTGTGAACATTAAAACCGAGAAGGTGTTCTGTCATTCTTATTATTGCTGCACCTTTGTTATAGGAGATTGTTGAGAACATAGCACTAATTGACTGTGGACTTCCAACTCCTGGATTTGTAAGAGGATGAGGGTTATTTGTAGAGTCACTTAGAAGAGCTGCGTGAACTTGTTCCGTTATAAATCTAGTTGGCAATCCCATGTAATCTTCAACCTAGAACCGAGTTCTAAACTTAGTTAAACTTTTATTTCCTGCTACCATTATAGCAAGAGCCTATAATATTATTATGTTTAAAATAAAAATAGAAAAACATTCATAAAATACTGACCCAATCAGTGAGGAAATATTGATAGTATCTTGCGAAACCTTCATTAAGCCAGGTCGAATCCCACCAGTCGCAAGTAACTAGATTACCAAACCACATATGAGTGATTTCGTGGGAAAGAATGTACGCATTCAATTGCTTGAAATAATCATTAGTTTGATCGGGATCGTACATTAAATACGCTTCTCTGTGAACAAGTGTAAGGTTTCATTTGTTGTCACATCGTACCTACAGTCTGTTAGAATTTTACAGTTTATTCTAATTCTACCGACCTGTAAGTGAGCAAGCCCCAGTTTTCCATAGCACCCGCTGAGAAATCTGGTATAGCCGCTTGAGTCATTTTAAGATTAGGATTCATGGAGTAAAAATTTAATGCAGTATGGTCGTTCATTGCAGCTAACAGTTTTTGTCCAACATCAAATGCGTATTGACCCTGGTTTGCTTCGATTGCGGCTGGTCTAGCAATTACCTCATAAGTTATGGCGCCATTTTGCATGACTTCTAGAGAGGAATATTCGGCAACGATTAGAGCTAAGAGATATGTTGACATAATGGGTGTTGTGTAGTAAATATCATCTTGATATGACCTGAAACCACGATATTTATATTATTCATATTTGCAAATTCATGTTCACTTTGATTCTAAAAACAAATAGTGGCTAATTAATTATTTCTACAAATTTGAAAGTAATAGAGCAAAAGTACAGATTCCTTTAGTTCTTGATTATATACCGTTATTTATGTTTTACTTTTTGTTATATATTATTAAATGGTTTCTTTTTATTTTTCTTGAGATATAAACAGCCAGTAAGCAATTGCAATACGTTGTTGTTAATTTAATAAAATAAAAAGATAACGGCGTTTATGCCATTTTATATACATGCAGTATATGATGTATGTGAATAAGGTCATGCAAGAGAAAAAATTAAATTTTGCGAAGATGTATTAATTTTACAGCATCATTTGTAATATAGCTGCCTACCTCGCTTGAACACATCGGGACCTGAATAGGACCACAACTTATTAGCGTGATTGAATTTTTAAACTTACCCAGTCGTGTTACTGCTTACAGTTTCTCTAATCCTTGTGCAAGACCAACTTCTATATGATGTAGGACGTCTTATTGTTATATCGAAAGTCGCCTTAAAGCTTGGTTCGTCGTAGCAAGGGAATGCGGTGCGAGCAGACGTCGCTTGGAACTGAGTCGTTGCAATCCAACTAAAATGTATTCAATATAAATCCAATGTCTTTACGATTAAAAGTTAATGATTATTTTTACATTTATGCGAATACTACACATCGATTAATCTTATTTTACGGATATTATTGCGCTTATCTAAAAAAAATTAAAATAGTATAAAATATTCATCTCTGTAATAAATACCAAACTGATATCACGAATTTTATTTCTTGAATTTTTAATTAAATAAAAATTAGTAAACATTAAAAAATAAGATGATGATTCAAGTTTACATCACCTGACTGAATACAAAATCAAATAAAATCAAATGGTCCACAGAGTTTAGAAAGTACAATCGAAATATTTTGTTAAGTGTTCCCCAACAGCAACAGCAACAAAGTCCCAGAAAATATGCAGACCTTTTCTATCAAAAGGTTTAAATTATTTATTAAGCAAAATTGTCTACTAAGGGTATTATATAATTATACTACTAAAGAGTACATGACTGATAATAACACCTGGGAATGAGGTGATCGCTACCATGCCGTTTCTAAATGTTTTCATAACAATTGTTTAAAATATTATATTATAAAGTATGCTTTTTTTTTAAAAAAACGTCCCGCTGGGTTACTTGCTGATTCTTCCCAGGACAGAGGCTTTTTTGCGAACCAGTGGTAAAAATAAAAAAATATTTCAATTTATATTATATTATATAAATTCTACTCTATTCTAAAAAAAAAACAGTAGTCACTTATTATATTATAGTATAACGTAAAATTGTATTTTTGTATGCAGTTATTCTTAGATTCTACTCATAATTACTCAGAGGTGTTTTTCATCTTTATGTCACCAAGTAAACACTTAAGTCCCTTCAGTGACCATGGTAAAGCGCAAAAAATTCTTAAATTTATTTTATTCAAAGAAACAATAGTAAACTAACTTCACACTGATCAGTATCATTATCTTACATATTCAAGTCAATTCAGTGTCATTTGTTTAGCGGTCGTAAGCGCAATCATGTGGTCTCATAACCCCATGCTGGGTGGGTCTTTACATTAGCGGTGTTTCTTCCCCATTCCTCTCGGAAAGGACATAAAACCATTGATATGGTCCTGCGGCTGTACTCTCTCCAGTCGTGTAGTTTACGTTCCATCGGACTATGAGAGTGAGGGCTGTATTAACACGGATATTGTGTACTATAATCCTGAACTTCGCAGGTGTGACTGAAATTCATTCTGGAAGACATGTATTTACTTTTTATCAGGCTTTTATCAATTGACTACTGGACATAATCCCTTTTTTTTAAATGCACCAACTGGTACATACAATTTAAAAAGTATTTCCATTCTTACAATGTAAATTGGGGAACGTAGTATCTGTGGGATTCGGTTGCTGCATATTTCGTCAACACCAGCATCATTACAGCCCTTCACAAGTCGACTGCTGAACATATGCCTACCTCAAGGCATGCCACAAAGCACGGTCCTGAACCGGTACTTTCAATTACGGTCCTAAAGGTAGCCCATACAAACTAGCGTATACCTATCAGGTTTGCCTGTACAGTTACATGCGTCAGGTAAGCTTGCGTATGACATACGCGTAGCTGTTATGCAATATACACGCTAACCGGTTTTCCTGTACATGTAAACTGTCACTGTTCTTTTTCTTATTTTTATTTATTTCTTCTTCTGGGTTGTCTGGAAGAGATTGCTATGTAGCAATAAGACCGCCCTTTGTATTTTCCTCAATAGTTGTTTATTTTTTTATTTTTGATGTTTTTATCTTTTCTTGGTGTACAATAAAGAGTATTGTATTTTATTGTATTGTACACTCTAGCGTGTACGTTTAAGATTAGTTAGATACCCAAAGTTACTACAAGTATCACGGCTCGTCATTTCCTCCAAGCAAGAAACTAAGGAGAGAAATAAAGAGAAACGTTGAATGACAATGATTCAAATTAAATCTTACCTTTCAGTATCTGTGCTGTTGTTTCTGAACCAACTTCTATAAATTCCATACATGTCATTACGCAACTCCGCTCCAAATCTGATAGACAACGTATATGTTACGGGACTTGCAGGGTTGTATTCTAGAGAAGAGTTGAGACTGACTCGTAAGAAATGATAATCTGGCTCCAAATTGTAAGTATGCGGCAATGTTAAGTCACCTTGCTTCAGCTCTAGAGATAATATTTCCAGATCAGCAGCATGAATAACAATTTCATTAACGTTTGATTGCGTTGCTACGAGATTTATATTAACTATTCCCTCGAAGACCAACCTAGCCATATCGATAGTCCATAAAACATTGTAATGGACAGGTTTTGTAGTTTTAGGTAATCTGTAGGCATTGGCATTTGTATTTAGTAGAGAAATTTCGTCAGAAAAAACATCAGCATGTTCAAATATTTGCCCTTCAAGTTTCTCATCTCCGAATATTGTTGATCTTGGTCTGGGTGGTAGCTGGGGTACAGCGTATGTTGCGAGACATAATGCTAATATAACAAACAGTTTCAGTGTCGCCATCTGCAATATTTCAATAAGTTAAAATAATTTTAACAGCGAAAATAGCCTAATGGAAGGGTACGAATCGCAAACTCATAAGGTGGTGGGTTCGAATCTATCATTCAACTGGATACAAACATTTTAAGCTTGCCGAGAGTGGTTAACGAGAATGTTAGTAAATTTAAGAGCATTGTTAGGGTTAAAGAAAAATTTTACTCCTTTCTACTTTTTAACACAGTTTTCATCGATTTACTCAAAAAAATCGGCGTTATCCTGAGAAATGCTTAAAGTTGCTCTCTCTCTTTCTCTCTTTTCTACAAGGATTACAAGTAAAACCGTTAGTTTTAATTGTGCTACACACAAATATTTGCGTTACGTTACGTTAGCGTTTGCATATACGTAATTGTCTTTTAACCTCTATTATTTCTCAATCACTGTCTTATATCGATATTAAGTATACATATCAGGAGTATTTGCAGGGAATATTAGTATTTTAGAACGAGTAGCATTGCTAGTACTTTTACAACCGACTTCAAAGAAGGAGGAGGTTCTCAATTTGACTGTATTTTTTTAATGTGTTTTACCTCAGAACTTTTTTCTATGTAAACCGATTTTGAGGATTCTTTTTTATTTAAAAGCTGGTGCTTTTCATGTGGTCCCATATAAATTTGATCAGACCAATGTTTTTAGAGATATTCTTAATAATACGTATTTAATTGTCTTCGACTAGATTGATGGTTTTCTCATTTTATTTATATTGAAGTCGCTTTTACAACATTTTTAATTTCGCTTTTACAAAATTTTAAAAAGTGCTATAGTCATACGAGAGATTTTTATAAGACGTAATAATAAGACATTATATAATAATTTATATAGACTTAATATAGTCTATATTCTTGTGTGTGTGTGTGTGTGTGTGTGTGTGTGTGTGTGTGTGTGTGTGTGTGTGTGAGTGGTGGCTGATGAACACTACCCTACATCATCCCTTAGGTGTCGTTAGAGGCAACAGAGGAAATTAAAACAGGAGGAGGCAGCAGCATTTATCTCATAACAGCAAAAGTACAATAAAAAACTGCGGTTGCTAACTCGCTCGCCAAACGTGACAACTAAGGCAAACATCCCCCCGAGAGAAACGACACAAATAAACGGCCCCAGTCTCCGGTAATCTCCAGTAGAGGTTTGGTTGCCATCTAAGACGACTCGACCCGACAACATTTAACGCACGTAACCTAAGGACTGATGAGATCCTGGAGCTTGAAGAAGAGACAAGTTGCGCTAGGATATTATAGGATTATCTGAGGTCCAAAGAGAAGAGAAGGACACGCTAATCCTCGAATCTGGCAACTTGTTCTATCACCGGGAGAGCTACGATCTGTCCCAAGGAGGTGTCGGATTTATCGTCCACAAGTCTCTCGTTATCAACGTTGTGAAGATTGTTAGTGTGTCGACGAGGGTTGCGTACCTTATACTCAGAATCACCAAACGGTCATACAGGTTTACGCACCTACCTCAGTACGTCCCGATGAGGAGGTGGAGGAAATGTATGAGGATATCTTTAAAGCATGCTTTCCTCCAAATCCTATAATACGGTGTTAATGGGAGACTTCAACGCATAACTGGGTACAAGAGAGAATGGTGAGCTGAAGGTAGGGAAATTTGGAATAGAGCAACGGAATCCAAGGGGCCAGCAGCTGGCTGACTTCATTGCGACATAACAACTCTTTATGATGAACTCTTTCTTCCAGAAGCGGCTCCACAGAAAGTAGACCTGGTCGAGCCTCGACGTTTCGACAAAAAATGAGATTGACTTTATTATGACGACTAAACGGCAACTGTTCAGTGGCGTCTCAGTGGCAGCGAGGATAAAAACTGGCAGTGATCACCGAATGGTTAGAGGCAGTGTACCTAAACATTAAGTTGGAGAGGTCACGTCTAATAAAGTCAACGCTCCGTCCCCTTCGTGATGTAATTCAAAGTTTTCAGTGTCTAGAAGACTGCAATACAGTGGACGAAATGAATGACAAGCCCGTGGAAACTGCCCATGCTCTCAGAGCTAAGTTCTGCAAGACTCGTCGCAGAAGAACATAAAAACTTAGATCATACTCTTAAACTCATGGCTGTTAGACGGGAAAGGAAGCTGCAGTCTTCAGAAAAATTAACAGTATACAAGCAACTGAACAGAACTGCCAACTGAACTGAATATGCTAACGGATTAATAAGCTGAAATGGCATTGGGCCGGCAATATAGCTCGAAGAACTGACAACCGATGAGGAAAAAAGGTTCTTGAGTGGCAGCCTCGTACTAGATGGAGCTACGACCTGGTTACACATGCAGGAAGACTATGAATGGAGGTGGCTCAGGACCGTGCTTTGTGGTATTACTTGGGGGAATCCTATGTTCGGCAGTGGACTTGTGAAGGGCTGTAAAGATGATGATAATAATGTTTAATGGCGATGTAAGCATATTCACCACCATATTCATCATCCAGTGGATGTCGTAAGAGGCGACAAAGAAAAAATAGGAGATGGGCATCAGCGTCTTTCTCATAACGACTAAAAATAAAAAACGGCGGTTGCCAAACCGCTTGCAAAGCTTACTTATAGGCAGTAACAGTATTCAGATGATAATAGGTACATTAAATAAAAGTATTTATGGGATAGTAATATATTTATGATAGTACATTAAATAAAAATATTTCATGTTTTATCACTGATTACTGTAATCTTTATTACCTGCCTATAATGAGAGACCTTGAAGTTCAACGTTTTACAAAATAATCAGTTCAAGTGATTTGCATTTTATTTTTTCAATTTTAACGCTGTCCGTGCAGTTTGGCGGCAATTAATTTTAAGACAATCTCAAATTTGCGTTATAACTAGCAACTAGCCAATACATTATTTTTTTTTTTAGAAAAGCGTGATACACGCACAGAGTCTACCTAATAGTAAGTGGAAGCTGTGGGCAATAGACATCCACAACTATCCTCGATTAAGGAACGAAATGTGCCATCACCCCTGAGAACTATGATGGATTGCCTCGTTTCCAGTAAAAAGAGTACGACAGAACACGTCAGCGTTAAGCTGTTATTTTACACTGGTATTCTGTCAGAACGTCGGCGTTCCCATTCGTGACTCACATGTAAAATATAGCTGCAGCATGGTTCTACCGCATATAAGTAGTGTATTATTACATATATTTATGTAATAATTTAGTAGGCTATTTTTAAAGAAATATTTGCATTGCTAAACTTATTTTAAAAGAATACAATTAATGGCATTAACATTACTAATGCTAACGTTCACCTTTCCAAGTAAACTTAAAATTCTTTTGTTAAAAATGGTTCACAGAGTAGGTAATTGTATGACGGATTCAAACCCACGAGGTAGAGTTTTTCTAAGTTTCCAATTTTGCAGACCGCACCACAGAATAAATAATAGTACTACGTAGCCGCACGTTTAACGCATTAGGATACTGTTGCTTCGAAATCGAATGATATCAATAAACGGGCTTTTAAATTTATAAAAGTATTCAATTCTCAATTTTGCATCTGAAAATATATAAAGTAAATTAAAGTAAAGTTGCAGGCTATTTACGTCCCACTGCTGAGCACAGGCCTCCTCTCATTTCTGAGAGGGTTTTAGGGCAAGGAATTATAAACCGCGCTGCCCATAATGCGTGTTAGCGAACTTCACAAGTGTTCGAAATATTTTTTTTCTTTTTCTCAGACATGCAGGTTTCCTCACGATGTTTTCCTTCACCGCCGAGCACGTGGTAAATCAGCACTTAAAATTGCAATTAACAATTTCATTGGTGCCGGCGGGGATCGAACCCGGGTTGCTCGAGTACTGTGAAGCTTACAGCGAGCGCTAACCATCTGAGCTACTACGGCTATTAAAATTTTATGTATTTGAAAATATATGAATTAGTTTAAATGTTAATAATGAGGTTTCTATAAACTTTAGGACATAATATACCTGTATTAATAATTAGTACGATTAAAAAACAAATAATTAGCAAAATTCGATATGTTTTAAAACATCGTTTTTTAAAGTTTTGAGATATTTAATGTTAAGGCGAGAATTGTCTACGAAAGGATTTTAGTGCTCCTTTCGCCGCTGCATACATATTTGCACAGCACGAAGTAATCATGCCACATTCGCTGGACCAAAGGTTTATTAAAAACATTATTTGACACGGTTTTGCTAATTATGAGGAAATAAAGGATGTAAATAATTACGAATCTAATTCAATAACACGCCTTTCATATTATCTAAAAATACTTTATGGTTATTGCTTAAAAGCGGGAAAGAACGTCAAAGTTTTTTTTGGACGATAATTTTTTTTATTTCAATTAATATAAAGTATTTCAAAAATCTACTCCACTAACAGTTTATTTCCGAGCATATACTATTTACCACGTGTTCTGCAGTGAAGGAAAACATCGTGAGGAAACCTGCATAACAAATAAGAAATGCCTGTCTGAGAATTAAGAACAAAAATTTTCTAAGACGTGTGAAGTCCGGCAACATGCATTGGGGCAGCGCGGCGGGCTTTTCCTTATTCTAAAACCCTTTCAAAAATGAGAGGAGGCCTGTACCCAGCAGTGGGACGTTTATAGACTTTAACTTTATTTTTTTATATATTTTTATGTACTATTTTAAGTAGTATCAATTCTCTAGCGTCTAAAAAAATAAAACAATGCTTTTTACTGAGTATCTATACTTAAAACTCCAAATTAATTTACTTACTTTGGTTGGTTGAGGCGACAACTTTTTCGCGGGACTTCTGCCCCGCCACTGGATTATTAAAAACAATTTTTTTTCGCATTATATTTGACTAATACTGTAGCGATGTCGGCTTGATATCTAAAATTCGATAAAGTAATCGCTTTTTTGACGCAATTATCTGGCTATGAAATAATGGCTAGATTGTATTTATCTAAAGGACAAAAAACACATTTAAAACACAATCTAATTATTTTTATAATATCCATCTTTTTACTAAAAATATTTTATTCGGT